CAACACACACACACACACACACACACACACACACACACACACACACACACACACACACACACACACACACACACACACACACACACACACATTGAGGTTGAACGGGCTTCTTATTACAAATAAGAACAAAACATGGGATTTCAATCGGTTATTAAAAAAAAAAGGTTTCAACATTTAGTGTGAAAATTCATAAAATGAATTTGAGTACATGTTACTGCTGAAAAAAATGCACTGGCTCGGTTGGGCCACTAACTGACTTTTTTAGAAATTTGACCGGATGTTTGCTTTATTCACATTTTAATGATTCTTGGTAACTTTACCAACATTAATCACAACTTTGTCTAGAAGGTTATTTTTATGTTAACATTTTACTGTTTGATTTCTTACTTACACTGTATAAACTTTTTATAGGTTGTGACTCTGGCTTTGGTCATGCTTTAGCCAAAAAACTAGATAGTATAGGGATGAATGTGTTTGCTGCATGCCTGGACAGTAAAGGCCCTGGTGCTCTTCACCTCAAAAACACCACTTCTACAAGGTAATGTTTTTTTTTTCTAAAGAATAAAGTTATGAATCCATATGTAATTAACATTTGCCCAGTTTCATTTTACTAGACACGCTGATACTGATCATGAGCAAAATATGTTTCGAAGACTAATAAAAGTTGTGTTTAGTCGATCCATTGACAAATTATAATTTATTGAGCTACAATTTTAATCTTATGATGTAGGTTTTTATATTCTTTCCAACAGAAATCCTTGCCTTGACGAATGTTTCACAACTGGCAGTTCAAATGTTCACCTGTTTTGATAAGTTTTCAAAATGTTTGCTTTACTATGAGCAATAGTCCAAATATGTGCTGTGCATTTCATATAGGCTCAAAATAGTGCAGTTAGATGTGACAAAAGAAGAGGAGATTCACAGTTGTTTGCAGTATGTGGAGGGTAATCTCAACAGAGCAGGAGACCCACCAGGTGATACTTTTGGTCATTTTTTATTTAAAGCAGTTGTAGGTATACCATGATGATTTAGTACGTTCATTTTCTTAGTCCATGTTAGAGTTTAGATATTAATGGTGTTTTTTCCCAAATTTATTACTGTACATAATGAAGGAACTAATGTATAAGTAAAAAATTAAAGATTTCAAAGTATGAATACCAGGGAAACCAATAAAATGTGGAAATTGTTACACTGATTTCATATCATACTCCTGCAGTTTGTTTGGCTATTAATTTTTATTTTTATTTTTGCTGGGAAGCTGCTCGAAATGAATACTTAAGTGGTCTGTGTATTTAATTGTTGGTTATTATATTTGATCTATGTATTCAATGGTTGGTCTATCTATGACTGCATTCCCCCAGATTTTAGATCGTTCTATCCCCATGGGGAGTCTTACTAGATTACTGTCAGCTACTTATAGCTGTAAGGGTGTAATTAAATTCCGTGCGTGCTTGGCTGACAGCAATTTAGCATGAACTCCTGGGGAGTTAGGTCGATCCAGATGGATCGATCTAAATCTGTGGGAATGCAGTCTATGTAATGATTAAAACTGTGTTGTATCCATCTCCCCAGGCCTGTGGGGTCTAGTGAACAATGCAGGGACTGCGTCACTGGGAGAGATTGACATGACTGACATACGCCAGTTCCAGAAATTGATGGAGGTGAATTTCTTTGGAACTGTGCGCATGACCAAAGCTTTTCTTCCACTTCTACGCCAGGCTGGGGGACGGGTAGTTAATGTGAGCAGTATGGCAGGTAATAGACTTAGCCCCTATTCAGAATGAAAGATCCGAGTGCAAACTGGTCCAAGGCTCAAATATGGTGGACCCTACATGAAAGGAAGACCTCTTAATCCAGTGGTGGTGGTCTCTTGCTTCTCACACCTCTCCCCACGTGTCGTCCCTGCAGGGGCACAGTCATTAAATCTCGGCTCCAATGGACCGGAAGCTACTGAAGAAAATAAAGTGCGCATGCCCATCAGTTAAACTTGTTAAATTCTTTGCTGCTTTACAGGTCAATTTGTTCCTTTTTTGTCTCCATTTTGAAATGTAATAAAACAAAATAGCCTTTTTCCTTCGATCGCCTCCAGCCCCCATACTTTGTTCATCTCTAGTTGTGTTTATACCTATTGTACCTGTGCACAGTAGTAGAAAAAGGAAAAAAAAACTCTGGAAGAAGTATTCATTTTGAGAAATGATTTAGAATAAGCTAGCATCAAAAGAGTTAATTTTTTATTATACTTGGGAATCATTGTGATAAATATTAAACTATTACTTAGCACATCTTGCTGCTTTTTTTTCCTTCTAATGTTGCCAAAAGCATACTTACCATTGATTTTGAAACAAGCTTAAGGAATATGATTTTTTTATATTTATACTTTCACATTTCCGAAAATTTAGGTAACTGTGTGGCTGTAAAGTCTTTAGTGAATTTCTTTCTTTTGTTTATAGATCAGCTGCCTACTCCATTTTTTGGTGCTTACTCGGCTTCAAAGCATGCAATTAAGGGCTTCACTGAAACCCTTCGTCATGAGATGAAGAAATGGAATATTCAAGTTTCTTTAATAGAGCCTTCAGGTTTTTGCACAGGTAAGGATTTTCTGATGCTATTTTGTTATATTTATTAATTTTAAATGGTTTTTAACAACTTGCTCTTATAGTTTGAATTAAGCCCAAGCATTTTTGTTTAAAGAAAATTATTTGTGCTAGAGCTTTAAGTTAATTAACTTTGCTAATTTGAAGAGAAATATTTCTTTGTTTACACAGCTAAATTGTACAATGTAATAGTGCTTAGACATTATTTCCTTTTCTGGATTAAACTTTAATGAGGGGTGTTGTGTGCATGGAGTAAATTACTGCATGATTTTCATGGCTTTTATTTAATTAAAAGAGCCCATGATTTCCACATTGGTGTCATTTTGCTTTATGTGAAAGGACAAAGAAAAGAGATCTTTTCTAACCCATTGTTCTTTGGAGTTTAAGTTAAAAATTAATATTTTTACCCTTTAAAATTTATACATGACCTATGTTTTTGTCTTATCTTAGGAGCAACTACTGAGGACTCCATTAACACAGTTCAGAGACAAACCTGGGAGCAAATGGACAGACACACTAGAGAAAGATATGGAGAAGAATATTACAACCAACTGTTTGCCAATTACCGTCACTTCATATTGAATTTTAGTAAGGATCTGTCTCCTGTTGTCCGTGCTATGAGAAGTGGTCTGTTATCCAAGAGACCTCGAGAGAGATACCCGTGCGGCAGGGGAGCAGAGACAATTTTGACTCTATTTGGGATACTTCCTATCTGGATGTCTGATAAGATTATACAAACATTTGGTTTGGGTGTCAAGAATATAAAACCTAGAGTTCTGTCATAAATGTTGTTGGTCTGTTTTTCGGGTTATTGGGGTCACTTAAATTGATGAGATGTTTTAATGTTGTATATTTACACACGCACACGCGCACACACACACACACACACACACACACACGTATACAGGTGTTTAAAGAAGGAAAATAAGGCCAGAGCTGGGTTGCAGACATGCACATCAAGCGAAAGGAAATTGAATAGGATGATTTTTGAGAGATTTACAATTTGTGTACTCAGTTCGCTCAGTGAACTGCAGTGCATTAACTAACTATTGAGGAAGATTCCCCTTTTAATAGGCAGCTTTTTAGTAGGTATGATCTCAAATGGTTAAATTAAGGGTATCATTTAGCCAGGAAAATTATGAAATATTTTTTCAAGTTGAGGATTACACCAACTTGTTTATACTAAGAAATATCAAGTAGTAAGTAGGTCATATGCACCATTTGGTCAAAAATATTTGTTTCAGAGCCAGAATGAGGGAAAAGAATACAGTAGAAATCGCTCTTCCAAATATTTATACTGAGAGCATCAGGATCAGGGGTATAGGTAAAGATAAACTGGAGGAATTGAGAAAGATAAATGTCTTCTTATTTGTTAATTTACAATTTTTTTTCGGTTTAAAAATGATTTGTTGAAGCTGTGCTTTACACAGGCTTTGTCAACTGATTGGTGCTCCATATCTGCTTGGTTGAGAGAATGTATTTATCATGTAACATGTGAACATTCTGTTAAAATTATTTGGGCCATTTGCAAACTATGAATATTTCATTTTTTATATTGTACAATATAATTTTTTGATGTTAGAAGATTGTGAAATATCCTTGTGACAATGTTATGCCTTTTATTTGTTATGTGTAAATGCAGATTTTTTTGTATAGTCTCAATATAGTCCTTTGTAGAACATAAATATTTGGATTTATTATTTATTCAATGTGAATAGCACGCAATAATTTACACATGGTGTAAAAAAAAATTGGCAACTTCAGACAGTTTAAGTCTTAGGGCTATATTTGCATTAGCTGTCAGTGTTGCAGTTATATGATAATCACTAGCTTATAATTAAGAGCCAAGCATTGTGGCATGCCTATTGATATCATTCCATTTTTTTTTTAAACTCATAACTGTTTACTATCTAATATTTATAAATATGGTACTTGTTATATCTCACACTACAACATAACATTTGTTTATAAATTGTTTTTGCGTATTTATTATCATTTTCATTCTTGGTATTCTGTGGAACTTCACATTTCAAGAAGTGAGCCTAAGCAGAATTTGAGTTTGTGCACATTCTGATACTTGTGCATGCTGGTAGCAAGAGTTGATTGCATTGGTTTTTGTATTTTGCTGCTTGCCCCCTTCATGAACATGAGCATATGCAGAAATCTTATGGTTAAATTTCAAATATGGAGCAAAAGCATCCTGGAAATTGAATGAACTAACATACTAACATGAATGGTGAGAAAAGATTATCATCAATTTTGTAATATTTATTACATGTAATAATGGATAATTGTAAACAATTAGTATTTTATTTGTAAATGCTTCTTCATTGAATATAAGGCGTTTTGTAATATTCATATAGTCGTTAAATAAATACAATAATATATGCTACACAAAGGAAGAGTTCATATTTTGAATTTATACATTCCCTGATTTTACATCTGCCAGCAGATTTTTAATCAAAATTGGTGTAGACCAAATGAAATTTGCGTGCTGAAGGAAAATAAAATTCCTTACGAAGCACAAATGACAATCATTTTCACAAGCTGGATCTTTGTTAACCATGTTATAAGAAGGTGATCCAGCTGGGCAATAGTCACCCACCCAGGGCACAAGTCTTAAAAGCACATGGTGCAGGACTTGGGTCTTGTCCTGACAGATTACGCCATGATTGTCCTCTGACCTCCATCACAGTAACGTCTGGCTGTTATCACATCAAGCAGTGCAGTTTTCTGTACTGCATTAGCTTGACTGGTCTTAACATGTCATTATGCCATAAATATTTTTCATCCCTGTCACCATCCCCATTGTACCAATCACTATACCAATCAAAATTTACTAGACTCACTGATGAGTGCTGGCACTCCATTCATAGTCATGTATGTCAATCACTCAATCCTGTGCGAAACAGAAAACTCTACCACTCCACGTGAAAATGGCTGGGATGAAAACAGAAAAGGCTTAATGAGGGGGAAAAAGCCTCTCAATCTTCCAAATTTTTGTTTTATAAAGTAAAGTTTGTACATAGGACGGTCCTCCCTCTCAGCTTGGCACTTTTTCTATTATGACTGGAGAGTCTGCTTTTATGCCACTGGGAAAGAGCAAGCTTCCGTGACTCCGCCACAACTCCACGGCCTTAGCCACAATGATGTCTGCACTGTCTGCTGGAATCTGTAGGAAACAAATAAAGTTACGTTTGTCGATAGCTATAGAATTTAATAACAAAGATGGTTCAGTTTTGTAGGGAATGAAAAGGTCACCGAGGTAACTAGTACAAACATTAAACTTATACAAATAATATCTTTCACCGACATTTGTGACCCACCCTGCTATACTTTGCACAAAAACACTCTGCATGCATAGATATTAAAATATCAATATTATCAAGAATATTTTGAGTTCTTCCAACCTTACTGCCTGTACACTGCCATTAGAAAGACAATCCTATTGGCAATACTGTAGACATTGATTAATTTTTAGTTACATTTTTAAGATATTGCACAATCTCAGCATCTGTCCTTAACGTCAATATTGGCCTCCTCAGTGTAAGAATGATTGCCACAGCCACAAAGACAAGCACTGTGCAAGAGCCTCCTATTATTTTGTCCCAGATTCTGAAAGAAAAAAAGTTAAAGTGTGATAATAAAAGAAAAAATTAAACTTTTTCTTAATTTCTTATTATCAATATATAGGGATAAAAGTGAAAACATAAATATATTAGAGTATCTGGATAAATCCATACAATTTTCATCTCTAGGTTCATGTGCACTGGATATTCACCTTTCAAAAGATGTTTCTGGCAACACTCCAGCAAAACTGGAAGAGAACCACCTACTCAGAGGTATAGCACCAAATATGTTCAAGTTGAGAACCTTGGTGTATAATTTCCCATCTGGGTCCTCCTTTTTAAGATAATGCTCTGTCCTTTCAGACTGAAAATCAAGAAAAAATTAATAAAATTGTAGCCTATACAACTGTTACTATACCTTTCAAAGTCTGCAGTACCAAACATTGTAGTACCAATATGGAGAAGATACATTAATCTTTGAACTATAAATTAAACTAAGAACACTTTCACAGTAATGAAATTGATTATCATAATATCATTTACAATACAATGTATGTAACTGCTAAATTCCTACCAAAACATGCATGATATCTTTCCATTTCTCTTGCAATTTATAAAATTTTGTAGAAATCCAGTATGCATCAATGTGACTCTCCACCATTTCCAGGACTGCTGCAGCAACTGCCATGAAGCTTTGACCTTCTGGCTGCATGACCTAAGAGTAAAATATACAAAAAAGATAACTTTTCACGTCTTTAATTGGAAATTAAATTTCAAATAAATCACTTTCAATTACGCAGCATTGATTTTTATTTTTGAGCAGCAATTTTCATTGCAAATTTCATCAAAACATATTCTGTACTGTACATTTATTCAAGCAAAAGTCAGCAGTTGATATTTACACAAAGAGGTTCTAAAAATAAAAAGAGGTAAAATTCCAGACATTCTCAACACAATGATTAAATATTTTTCCAAACAACTGAAACCAATCTAAATTGCTCAAACAACAAGATACGCCAGATCTCCCTCTCTGGTAACGTCATTGCTCAGCTGACAACGAATAGTGGCTAGTCCAAGTCCTCGTTAGGATAAGGCACATCATGATAATATTCATCTACTTTGTAGGTCCAGAAATAAATTCATAAAGTGTGTATATATATATTTCTTGAACAGCCATCCACAACTCACCAGCCTATTCTCATCAAACAAAAGCGTTCCTTCCTCCATGTGGTACATCTTCAGGAAGACCAGGGGCAGGGGGGTCCTGTCGTCCACTTTCCCCATGACTTTCAGAGAATGCATCAGATCATTGAACTGATCTGTTCTCATGGTCATGACAAACTCGTGGCTCTCTTGGTATGGCGGCAGGATGCCTGAAACACACACACAGCTCAGGTGATTTAGCTGTACGTGTTGCTTGCATAAATAATCAAACAAAAACATATCACAAAAATGTCGCAATGTCAATAATAAATAAAATATATATATACGTTAAGCCACCACTTTCACGACCACTGTCAACGTCGACATTGTATTCGTAAACTGAAAAACCATCAAATAGTGCAGCCCACTGACACTTGGCTACGAACTTCATTACCTAGAAGTACTTTCCAAACAAGAGGTCTATAAATCGCAGGAACAGGGAACTTCAGGCAGAATTGAGACAGCTTCTTAAGCTCATATGGCTGCTCCTTGAGAAGATTTTCAATTAATTTGTTTTCCTCGACTCCCCTAAAACCCATTTTTTCATAAAAGTGCGACCTGAAGTTTCTTTCGTCTGCCATCGCGTTGGAGAGGTGTTTGAGTTTTGGTTTCGAATTACATACTCTCTTTGAAGGAAGTCTTATTTCATATATTTATTCCAAAATTTGAGTATAAAAGTATTACAAATAATATAATTAGAAATTACAAATAAGAGGAGGAAGAAATCAAAAATCTAAAGATAGAAATATTGCGAAACTCTTTAAGTTTGGTGACCTCCGAGGATTGCCAGCTGGCTTTACATGATGGCCAGCAAGCAGAAGAAGGACGAGGGCCCGCCCGTTCGGGTTTTAAATACTCCCGAGGGGGTAAAAACGGAAAAACACGATGATAAGAATATTGCCAAAGACTTACAAAAACTCATGCTCAAGTATGTATGCTAAAAATTTTACTGTCATTGCTGACATATTTATGTGGAAGTGAATATTTACATGTTCAGCCTTGTATCGCAGCTGATTAACCTCAACATGTGGTATTCACTTTAACGCCTGGTGCGAGCATTTATCATGTTTATAATGGATTCACCCATGATTGACTGGCACAGTCCTAGGAAAGCCAGTGCCCCATAAAACTAATAGGTAGAGGAGAAAAAATTACATTTTTAAAACATCTTATTATGTTCAACTAAATACGTGTAAATGTATGCTGCAGGTCTTTCCCTAGGATTCTTACAGTCGGCATGACGTCACAAGATGGCCGCCACGCCCGGACTAGGGTAAAACAATCTGTTAGCTCCATTACTCCCCATGTTAAAATGATCAACTTTGATCGTCTGTATCTCTCACACCGGTAGATAATTAAACTTGACAACTGTTTGATTATATTAACATAGGTATTTAGTGTCAGGAAATGGCCATCAAAGACCTTTTCTAGCATTGATGCCGATTTTATCAGCGATTGAAATGCACCTCTCTTACACTGTAATTATATGAGCTGCAGTTACAGTTCTGATCGTTTTTCAGGTAAGAAGTTCCAATGGCTTTGTTATCGGATGAATCTGTCCACTGACAGCGATTGAACAGAACTTACCTGGATCCTCAAACAATCAAAGAGCCCTCTGAGGTGGCTTAATTGGAAGAAAGTGATCTTATCAGTTGGTGTCATTGTAGCAAACAGAACTAAAACAGATATGATCTTCACAGGTGTGGTCATTGTATTTGTCTTTGAAAAGGGGAGCTGAAAGAAAGCTCGAATGACAATTTACTAGCCTGATTTTATTACTGAAAGTACATGCCATTTTGAGAATTTAAACAATTTTTTCTAGTAATTTTTTAATACCCATGTTGCTGCAGACAGAATTGAGATCATGGACAGGAATAAAATTTTTACATACTCAATAAATCGTTTAATTATTGTACTATGAAGTGTGTAAATGGCAATAATGTGCTATTGGAACAGATAACTAATACTTTTTCTTTGTGATATTGCACACTTTCATCAAGAGGATAGAAAGCAAGAAAGGCTATCAATGAACATACTCCAGAATATGATTGGAAGAAACAAGCAGGTGGAGCTGTTTGCTGAGTAAAATCTATTAATCAATTAGAAACACTNGTCTGATTTTATTACTGAAAGTACATGCCATTTTGAGAATTTAAACAATTTTTTCTAGTAATTTTTTAATACCCATGTTGCTGCAGACAGAATTGAGATCATGGACAGGAATAAAATTTTTACATACTCAATAAATCTACTATGGAGTGTGTAAATGGCAATAATGTGCTATTGGAACAGATAACTAATACTTTTTCTTTGTGATATTGCACACTTTCATCAAGAGGATAGAACGCAAGAAAGGCTATCAATGCACATACTCCAGTATATGAACTGGAAGAAACAAGCGGGTGGAGCTGTTTGCTGAGTAAAATCTATTAATCAATTAGAAAAAACACTCAGCAATCAAATTTTTGTTATGGATTCAGTGTTTTTATCCTTTGGACATTACTGTTATATTTGCTTAAGTGTTTTATATCATAGAAATTCTAATTCATTTTTACTGTACAAATGTTAATTCAGAATGCAACTTTACAGCATATGTCAAGGAATTTTATAACTCCTTTCTTACATACCTTATAGATAGAAATAAAATGTAAATTTAAAGTCGTTTTATTGTATCTTTCATTTTGCATTTTGTTTAAGAATTCAAAGTGATTTATGACGGTTAAATATGCATTCAATTCGGATTTTTATAGATTGTACTTTGTATTGTGATATTGAGTCTGATGTTCTAAAAACGAAAATGAAATCACTACCTTATAAATTTATATTATTTTCTTTAAAAAAAACACCATGAATTTCATTTAGCATCAGAGTCAAAAATGATTTGTAGATTTTGACAACTTATAAAGATTTAAGTGAGGCTTTCATTCAAAACTTTTTGTTAAATTGGATAATTATGGATGAATCTATTTATGAAAAAAAATTTGGCAGGCCTCTAGTGAAATTTTTTACGTTTTTGCAGAAATTATAAAAGCTGAAAAAGTATTCCATAGTCTCTTCAAACATAATCCAGACAACAGTAGAAAAAGAAATTTTAATGAAAAACACAGCAGTGACAAATTCAAATTCTTTTTGAAAGCACATTAATTGCATTACTTGAGACACCTGCTTTGAACACGACAGGTGAGCAATGCTACCCAATCCCCCTTTTCTAGCTTATCAAATTTTTCAAACTGAGACCTGTAAAAGCAATATGAATATAAAAGTTTTCTTTGTTTAGATAATGATTTGATTATACAAGAATTCTGACTGCATATTAATGAACTCGGTGCGTATAGGTCATAGTGTCCCAGTAGGAAAAATTGTTTTAAAAATAGTAGGCCCCTACCCCACCATCGTTGATAAAGTCGCCACTGACGCCAGAAAATCCTTTTGATGGCCATTTCCCTGAGCTAAATACGTAAGTGAATATCAACAAACAGTTGTCACGCGTATTTGTTTACAGATATACTTGATACAGACGATAAAATATGCCTATTACAACATGAATCTGGTGTAAACTGAAATTGCAGCCCGTTGGAGGAGGGTTGGTATTATCACTGATAAAATCACCATCAGCTCTAGAAAATCCTCCTGAGGCCCATTGACTGACGCTAAAAACCCTAGTGAATATAACCAAGTGGTTGTCGTAAGTAATTGTCCTCTGGTCTGCTTGATATGAACGATCAAAGTTCACCAATTTAACATTGAGAGTAATGGGCGCAAGCCAATGTTTTACCCTAGTAGTCCAAAATGAGAGCCTCGTTCTGGGTTCACTAATCCGATAACCGACTGTAAAAATGCTTTTAAACACGATGAATACGTCATTTGCTTAATTTTCGAGCTGAGAGACAGAACTAAAAGAAATTAGGTAAGTCAAGTTTAAAAGATCTTTGTATTGTTTAAACGCAAAAAAGTTGCCAATTGCAAATATTCGGAAATATGTACATTAAATACACATGCAGAGCACCTGGTATAAGAATCGGGAAGAAAGTATAGGCCCTATAAGCGAACGTTTTCGAAAGAGGTGGAGTTTTCGTTTATGTTACAAGATAGGTGCAGCAAAACAATGTCAGCGTTTTGGCTACATGTACAATTGTGCAATTTTTACATTTGCATACTGAGTACAATTTAATATGAAGCATTTTCAACGCTCAAGTATCTAGGTTAGCACATGTTTACAGTAGGCCTATATTTAGGTCACTCGAGATCGACGCCCTATTGAAAGGTAGTCAGAGGTTTATTGTCTTCAGTGGCGTGTATACATGCACTGGGAGAATTTATCATGTTATTGATAGTTGTTGCGGCCTATTCCTGATCTGTGACAATTTCAGTCAGCACTCAGGTGGGCTCAAGTTCACCATGATACTAAAAATAGGTCATGCCGGCACTTGCTAGGTGGCAGCACAAGCATCACGGAAAATGCTACTTCCGGTAGTGAACATGTATCTGTGCTTGTATGTTTACAGTACTAGGCCTATATACATGTATTTAGGTCACTCGAGATAGAAGCCCTATGTATTTAAAGGTTGGCAGAGCTTTATTGTCTAGTTGTTGCGGCCTATTCCTGATCTGTGACAATTTCAGTCAGCACTCAGGTGGGGTCATGTTCACCATGATACTAAAAATAGGACATGCCCAGTGGTCACGTGACATGCAGTAGACTGTAGGGGAATTCCCTTAATTTAAATCCTAGGCAATATCTATACTTACTGCTACAATTAGGCCTATACATACAAAGTGTGGATTATGGCATCCACTAGTAGTTGCCTTGACACTCTTATGGAATGGAAATTGTTTAGTGTATCAAGGTTAATTAAGATCTCTTTTCCTTAAAACTATAATAACTAAGTTGGGCTAATTGAAAAAAAAAGACCTACGCATCTGTTCAAATCTCCAATTAACTGAATTCCTTATTGATTTCATTATAATACAGTGCGATATATATATATATATTATTTATTAATTGTTATTTTTTTATTGACTGACTATTCATCTTTTCATGCAGTAATCATCCAGCTGTTACAATCTGTCCATGATCTGAAAATGGCTATACCAGTGATCGTGGGCACCAACTCCAGAGAACAGCGGAGGATTCGTCTGATGTCCTCAACTCTAATAAGCAGCCTCACCGACTTGAACAAAATCCAGACATTCGCTAATCTCCTTCAAAGGGGTTTCATCTTGACCGAGAAACAACGTTATAGGATCATTTTCATCACCAACCCTATGCGCAAAATGTCTGTTATTCTGTCGTGCGTCTTGTCCTACTTGGACACTCAGCCGGAGGGACTGCATCGCGCCGCGTTTGAAGATTTTCTTCGAGCACTTCGCCAAGTTTCCCCTTACCTGGCTGCGGTGACGGAGTTTGGAGTTGCCAGTCCTCGGCTGTCTGTGGAGTGCACGGAAATATAGAAGAGAGAAGATAGAAGAGAGAGAGAGAGGCAGACAGAGAGAGACAGAGAGAGAATGCCCCTTGGTGTACATGTACTGTTGCTAGCTCACTGTGTGGTCATCAATACAATGTCAAAAGACGAGATCGAAATGTAAAT